AATTTATGATTTCCTGTAAAATTGAATATAAATGTTCGATTTGGACACACGATTCCGAAATGCAGAAAACTCTTTTCTATAACAACTTCTGAAAAGAAGACCAATGGTAAAAAATTCGAATTTGCTGCTTCTGTCAAGTCAAGTAATTCAAGTTCGAATTGGTGAAGAGCGCATGCATTGCGTACTGAAGAACACCACACCGTTAAGCTTTAGAGGATAAAGTCAAACTACTTTCGGAGGAGGCCCGTAGAGCAGCCCAAAAAGGGCGTGCTGCGAAAATAGTAAAAAATACCATCAAAGACAAATTAGTTGGAGTAGAAGACCCCATTAAAGAAATGCTTGGGGATAAAACAGAATCAAGTCCTGAACGAATATAAAATGACTCTAAAATATATTAGCATGGTGGAATTATCAAGGTAACCCTGTGCAATAATCCGCCCAATTACGGTTGCGTCGCTAGATTGAAAAATCGGCCCTATTACGGTTATCGTCGGCGTCGCAAAATGAAGTCGAGGCGACAATAATGATATTAGGGTTGTCGTTTTTTGTTGATAGCGACAAATGGTTGCCATTATCATTGTCGATACAACAGTCGACGTGATGTCGATTTTTGAGAATATCTGTCGCCGTAAAAAATTGTGACGACTAGTACTTTTTAGTCGACGTTGATATTGTGAGCATTTTGTATTTGATATTTGACCATGAAAATAACAATAGCAAAACAATTTGAAATTTTGGTTTCCGAATTGGAGAAAAATCCATGTTTGTCAAAAGGTCATGTTCCAGCAAATTTTAATTCAGATTGGGAATCCATTGCTACAAAATTAAATGTAAACGGGCCTCCGATTAGAGACTCCGATGGGTGGCAAAAAGTATGTAAAAATTAAAATTATTTTTGTATGTTTTTATTAGATAGTTTTCCAAAATTCTTCTAGATTTGGAAAGATTTAACATTTAAAACTAAAAAGAAACTTGTGCACAACAAGGGTGAAGCCAGCAGCAATGGACGTGGCATTTTTAAGCAAATGTCTTTGTCGCCTTTGGAGGAGTCTGTCGCGAATATAATGCAGTTTCAAAAGTTATTGAATCCACCAGGTCGTGCACTTGGAATAGAAAATAAGGACAACATAAGTGTAATAGACTAACGTCTATTCATGAAAATGAGCAAGTGGACAATGCTGATGACGAGACTGATGTAACCTACTATTGAAGTTTCTCGATCGCCCAGAAAAAACAATGGTAAAAAGTCATAAAGGAAAGTAGAAACTATTGAACTCTTGAAAGAGCGGCGTAAACTTTTGGAACAACACAATCAAGAGCCAGGCAATGCAAATACATATGTTTGTTGGCTGCCTTAACACTCGCCGCTGCACTTCTAATACATTCTTCTCTTCATCCTCACTTGAACTTAAGATATGTAACGCATTTATAATCTTCATTTTTTCACTATATTTTTTATTTTTCCGAAAGAGTCAAATTAGAATTCAAAATACCAAAAAAATTATCTTTTTTCGTCAATAACAAGGGAGTGTTGCCAACTTTTTTTTAATTGTTGCCAACTTTTATTTTAAACTGTCGATGTCGCTTCTATGCCTTACCATAATACTATTTTTGAATCGAAGCGACGGCGAGGGTGACTCGCACATAAAGTCGACGACGACTATAGTAACGACAACCGTAATTGGGGCGAATGGTATTACTGTAAGGCATAGAAGCGACATCGACAGTTAAAAAAAAAGTTGGCAACACTTCCACATTTTTGACATAAAAAATTGTTTGCAGCGGCGAGTGGTAAGGCGGCAAACAAACATATTTACCTTGCTTCACTCCAAGTAAGTACGTATTTTAATTTAAATATGTATTTAATGTGTTCTTTTAGAATTTTAAATTACTTCAGAATTAATAAGGACTGCTTTCAGCATGTGTAAAATAAATTTCCTCAAAGTTACAAATTGGCTCTCAGGCCTGAAATTAAATTGGCCGGTTTAAAATTTTTAATTTTTTTTGTTGAAATTTGTTCCAGTCGTAAGTATTTTTACCCTGATTCCAGGAAACTATTTGGGGTGGGGTGACGGACCCAGGAACCCCGCGCAAGTCTGGGTTCATATTGAGTAAGTGGATCCGGGTTTAGCCCGGGTCTTGAACCCTGACTTTCAAATCAAAAATCTGGGGAAACATAGTAATATCTTTCGGAAACAGGGTCAAAACTGAAGAATTTTTACTAAACTACATTTGTTTCAATTGGCGACAGCATTAATGTTTTTAGCGTTAGCATCTAAGTGATTTCGGAAATGACTTCAATATTTCCAAATTGTTTTGCTGTTGTTATTTTCATGGTCAAATGTCAAATACAAAATCGTTAAAATATCAACGTTGACTAAAAAATACAATGTCGTCACAATTTTTTACAGCAACAGATATTCTCTAAGAAAGACTTCACGTCGATTGTTGTATCGACAATGATAATAGCAATCATTAATCGCTATCGACAGAAAACGACAACCCCAATACGATTATTGTCGCCTCGCCTTCATTTTGTGACGACAACCGTAATAGGGTCGCATATGTTTACAATTTTTTCAAGACCATCTCATTGTCAAAAAAATATTCTAAAATATATTGTTTATAAACAATTCAGAGATGGGGAGTTTCTTGTTATGCATTGTATTTTGACAAGGTAAATTACAGGAAAATTAAGGATATCCTTATCTGAAATGAGCTTATCTTGAAATAATTGCACCATGTACATTAAGTTGGAAATTAATTAATTATTTATAATAAATTAGCAGAGAAATAATAATTTAGTTTCAAGTATTGCATTAAGCTGGAAATTGCGAGTTATTTCATACATATTTTTATTTTCAATAATTTTTATTTAATTTAATTTTTATTATTTTGTAACAAAAGCTCGTTTGGATTTATAACAAATTCTCAGTTTGCTAGTAATTTTGTTACGTTGTTGTTATTATTATTATTATTTTTCATTGTGTATATATTAGTTTTAGTTTATTTATATATGTATGTATTTGTTTATAACAATTTTAACCATAAGCACATTTCATTTTGATAATTTATTTATTTATTTTTATTTTTTTTTATCTATTCTAAAATTTATTGTTTTTGGGTTTCTTTCTGTGTGTGTTTTTACATTTTCAATTTTGTCGCATAAAAATTTGTTTAAAAAATCCATAATTTCATTTACTAATAACAAAAAACATGTTTTTTTATTTAAATTTTGTTTAGGAAATAATTAACAATTTACTAAATAAATAACAACAAATTCAACATTTTTATAGACACTTTGTACTCTCAAATACGTTTGATGGTGGGATCTGTAAAAAATACCGACAACTTACGTTTGAATTTCTCCATGCGGGGCTCATGATCCGATTCCGATTCACAGCTGTCGCTTTCGTCGCCAAACACAATGGTGCGGCTGAATGTGGGCAGGGGAACGGCAGCAATGGGTGGTGATTGGCCATCATCCGTTTCGGAGAAACCAGGATTCAATATTATGTTCGGTATCAATTCAATGCTGTCCCAACCATTTTCGAATTCTATGGAAAATATGAATTTCGAAGGTAAAAGAGAAAAAAGAAATGGAAAAATACGGGGTGCGGGTGGGGGAGAAAGGAGGGTGGGGGATTCATGGCAGTTTTATTAAGAAAAAGGAGTAGAGAAAAAATAATAAATTATGTAAAAATATTTTCCCTCAAAAGGAGTATTTTTGTTTTGATTTGATTTTGTGGCCGATTAAAGCGAACATTTACAATGACAGCGTTTAGCGGTGAGCAAGCCCAGATCACATGTATGGATTTGTTGTTTGGAGTAAAGGATAGACGTTTTATAGACAAAAAGTAAAAGACAGGCAACGAGAATTAGAAAGAAGGAAAGAAATAGAAAGATAACGGAAATATAAAATATCGATAAGTGAGAAGAGAAAAGAGAGACAGAAGATATAGAGATATATATTGTGTAACTCCACATGTTGTCATTGCCAGAAACACATAAAAAGCTTTTGTTTTTTTTTTGCATAATTTGTAATGATTTTGTTTTATTAATAAATTTACATTTTCAAACACAAAGCAAAACATTGAACATATAGTATTGATATAAGTATATTATATAAGTAAAATTGATTATTGCTTTTGTTTTTCTCCTATGGACAATAATGTATTCCACGCGTGACGCGTTAAGGAAAAGAAGCATTGAAATGTGGAAATTAAAAAATATATATATATTTACAATAAAGTTTTTTTGTTATAATAAAATTGGGTTAAAAAGGTTTAAACACAATGACATTTTTTGGTTTGATGCTTTGACTTCGAAAATGATATTAGATTAGGATTTTTTAATTGATGTTTTTGTTTACGTTGGGCAGAAATTAAATGAGGTATTTAAGGCTAAATTGACAATAATCGCCAGAGTTGTTTTGTCGTGATATATTTAGATTCACTTTATGTCAAATAAAAGAAAATAAAGGACTTGGACGGTTTGGAGACCGTATATGTAAACCACACACAGCTGCTGGGGCAGTGAACTGTCAAACCAATTTTGAATGAAAAATTATTAATATTCGTTGAAATTGTTGAAAAATGCATATCATAACAACCCCCGATTGACATTGTATAGGAAAACATATACAAAACAACTTATTTTTGAAAAAAAAAACATTTAAAATTTTTTGACATATCATTGCTCCCAAACATAACAACCTCCGATTGGCGTCGTATAAGAAAACATATAAATCTAACTATTTTGGAAAAAAAATTAATAATTTTTGACACATCACTGTTCCTAAGCGTTGATATGTCAAAAATTTTAAAATATTTTTATTGTTTTCAAATATAAGTAGGTTTTTATATGTTTTCCTATACGACGTCAATCGGAGGTTAAAACTTTTTGACATATCATTGCTCCCAAGCATAATAAACGCATATCATAACAACCTCCGATTGGCGTCGTATAAGAAAACTTATAAAAATCTAACTATTTTTGAAAAAAAAAAATTAATAATTTTTGACATATCACTGTTCTTAAGCGTTGATATATCAAAAATTTTAAAATATTTTTATTTTTTCAAATATAAGTAGGTTTTTATATGTTTTCCTATACGACGTCAATCGGAGGTTAATATATAATCAACACGTTTTACAAATTTTAATAATTTTTCATTCAAAATTTCCAATTTCAAATTCAATTCCAATTTGACAGTTCATTGTCCCAGCAGCTGTGTCGATGCGTCTACCTGTATTCTTCCACCATGATGTAAACATAACCCTCCACCATAGTATGGAGGGTATATTTAGTTTATCATTCCGTTTGTAACACCTCGAAATATACATATTTTAGACCCCACAAAGCATATATCTACTTGATCAGCATAAAATTCTATGTCGATTTAGCGATGTCCGTCCGTCTGCCCGTCTATGGCTTCACTCTAGCTTTCGAACAAAATGAGGTAGGTTGAAAAACGCTATTAACCGGAATGGTTGCAGATTTGATATTTGAAGCTCGCTATGACAGAAAATTGTCTGTGCAGGTCCACGTCTTCGTATAGCCCTCATAAAACGATACCTCCCGATATTCGGTATTTTGATGTTTTAGAGACATTATTTAGCGGAATTGTTTCAAATTTGGAATTTGAAGTTCGCAATCATGGTAGAAGAATATAGGTAGACGCATCGACACAGCTGCTGGGACAATGAACTGTCAAACCAATTTTGGAATTGAAAATGTTGAAAGAAAAATTATTTAAATTTGTAAAAATTGTTGAAAAACAAGAATTATTATAACCTCCGAATGACCTCGTATAAGAAAACATATAAAAATCTACTTATATTTGAAAAAACATTTAAAATTTTTTGACATATCAATGCTCCCAAGCGTTGATGCATCTACCTGTATTCTTCTGCCATGTTCGCAATGGATACTACAGCCCATGACAGAAGAATACAGGTAGATGCATCAACGCTTGGGAGCATTAATATGTCAAAAAATGTAAATGTTCTTTAAAATATAAGTAGATTTTAATATGTTTTCTTATACGACGTCATTCGGAGGTTATTATAATTCGTGTTTTTCAACAATTTTTGCAAATTTAAATAATTTTTCATTCAACATTTTCAATTCCAAAATTGGTTTGACAGTTCATTGTCCCAGCAGCTGTGTCAATGCGTCTACCTATATTCTTCTACCATGCTACAGCCTAAGACAGAAAATGGTCGGTGCAGGTCCTCGTCTTCGTAAGACTCCATATACGAAACCTCCCGATATCCGGTATTTTGATGATTTTACGAATTTTTGCCACAAATGTTATTTCATATATCTTCGTTTAACTTTTGATAAAAATTACATTTTTTTCGATGAAAGCAGGGTACGCACGATCGAAAATGTACATATGGAGTTTACTCCTTTATTTCATGACCGAAATGGTGTCAACGTATTGTACGATATGTGCAACTGTTACGTATGGAAAATTGGATGTTACACATGCAAAAAACATTCTGTCTAATTGACCCTTAGGACAGGGAGTACTCCAAGCTTACAGCGATAATTAACTATTTACAATAAATTTAACTTAAATGTGAATTGTCAAATATTGTGATTTATCGTAGAAGAATACAGGTAGATGCATCAATGTTTGGGAGCACTGATATGTCAAAAGTTTTTAAATGTTTCTTCAAAAATAAGTAGATATACGTAGATTTATATATTTTTGCTCTAAGACATCAATCGGAGATCGTTATGATATGCATTTTTTTAAACATTTTTAAAAATTTGAATATTTCATTTAAAAAATTTCAATTCCAAAATTGGTTTGACAGTTGATTGTCCCAGTAGTTGTTCCAATGCGACTACCTGTATTCTTCTACCATGTTGTTAGAGAGTATTTAGACTGCTAAATTTATTCGATTTCAAATGTAAATTCCATAGGGTATACGGCACGTAAATCGTATTCATAAATCCCATGGTAGAAGAATACGGGTAGTCGCATCGACACAGCTGCTGGGACAATGAACTGTCAAACTGATTTTGACATTGAAAATGTTTAATGAAAAATAATTTAAGTTTGTAAAAATTGTTGAAAAATATATATTATATCAACCTCCGATTTGCGTCGTATAAGAAAACATATAAAAATCAACTTATATTTGAAAAACATTTACAATTTTTTGATATATCAATGCTCCCAAGCGTTGATGCATCTACCTGTATTCTTCTGCCATGGTTTAAACGCCGTACAATGGTAGAAGAATACAGGTAGGTGCATCAACATTTGGGAACATTGATATGTCAAATTTGTTAAAATGTTTTTTTTTTAATAAGCAGATTTCTTATACGACACCAATCGGAGGTGGTAATAATATGCAATTTTTTTAACAAATTTGAATAATTTTTCATTAAAAATTTTCATATTCAAAATTTGTTTTGGCAGTTAATTTTCCTAGCAGCTGTGATGATGCGATTACCTGAATTCTTCTACCATGTGCCTTACCCACATATAAATTATTTGTGGATTTCAACTGTCCATTCCATTGTCGATCTCATTTGACATATTCGCAATTGAATTGACAGTTGAAATCCACGCGATTTAGTAATTCAAAATCAAATCCTTTATAAAGCATCAAACCGAAACGATTCATTGTGTTTCATTTTCTCTATCTTATTTCTAGTGCTTGTCGAAGAAAAAAAGTTAATAAATTAATAAATAAAATTTGTAGTTTGTCGAAATTATCGATAATTTTTGGTCAATCTTCGATTTCTTCGTCTATTGAACACTACCTTCAAGTCGATGGCATCGACTTAAACCGCTTTCAGTGCAAATTCTATCTCTAAAATTGGAACAAAAAAATAATAATAATTGGTGAATTGATCTTAATGTACTGAATTAGAACATGATTTATTCGGTCTCAAAATTGTTGCTGTTTGTTTTCTTTTTTTTTTCTATAAAACTAAAAGATTCTATGTTCCTATGAATTAAAAGGACCTGGATGCTAGCGACAATGAAATGAAAAAGTGGAAAGTTCATTAAAAATATTATTAAGCTGAAATTATTTTTGCGTAGATTCGAAGACCAGAAATGCGGAATAGAATGGAAAGAGAAGGCACCTAAATTAAACATTTTTCGAAGATGCGTCATTTGACGTATTAAATCAGTTCGACATAAATAATACTAAAGGTTGAAGAATGGTCGGGATTGTTAATTGACGCCCTCAAAATATTAGTTCCAGAACCTGCAAGAATCTACTATATATTTTTTTAGAAAATATTGCTAAAAAATGCTTCAGTGCCCACAAATTAAGACAAATTTTGGGAAAATTTAAGAGAAACAAACCAAAAATGGTTAAAACGAGGGATTCTTAAACTCATTTTTTGAGGAACCGACAAATGTCGGTAAAAACTGAAAATTATTGCTCTGTACCAGTAACTGAAAGAATCTCTGAGTTTTGCTTTTTTCAATATCTTAATGAACAAAAGTGATGAAAAGTCTAAATTAAAGTTGGCATCAGACGATAAGGGTTCTACATATACGCTGTCACTTTTATTTTCCGTGTGTATGTCAAAATTGCCATTTTACATAGGACTCATAATTCTTGCTATCACACACTTGCATATGTTTTTTTTTTTTTTTTTGGATACATTGTGATTATATTGCATATTCTATTAAATTATAATACTTTATGGATGGATTTTTACCGCAGATTTAATTTTTTATATTTTCATACAATAAACCATGGCAGAAGAACACACGTAGATGCATCAACGCTTGGGAGCATTGATATGTCAAAAAATTTTAAATGTTTTTTTCAAATATAAGTAGATTTTTATATGTTTTCTTATACTACGTCAGTCGGAGGCTATTATAATTTGCGTTTTTCAACAATTTTTACAAATTTAAATAATTTTTCATTCAACATTTTCAATTCCAAAATTGGTTTGACAGTTCATTGTCCCAGCAGCTGTGTCGACGCGTCTACCTATATTCTTCTACCATGCAATAAACAGATGAAAATAGAGCTCGCTGTAATCGAAAAAGTACATATGTAGCATGGTAAAAGAATACAGGTAGTCGCGTCGAGAACTGTCAAACAAATTTTGAATTTAAAAATTTGGAGTAAAAAATTATTTAAATTCGTTAAATTGGTTGGTAAATGCATATCATAACAACCTCCGTTCGGCGTCGTATAAGAAAAAATGTAAAAATATTCTTATTTTTGAAAAAAAAAAACCGCTTTAATTTTTTTGACATATCAAGCGTTGGTGCATCTTCTTGTATTCTTTAATCATGATATGTACTTTTTCTCATGTATTTCAAAACTGAAATGTCGTCCATGTACCACACCATGGGAACATTGGGAAAATTGATATGTCAAAATTTTTAAAATGTTTTTTTTTTCATAAGTTGATTTGTATACTTTTTCTTATACGACACCAATCAGAGGTTGTTATGATATGCGTTCTTCAACAATTTTTACAGATTTGAATAACTTCTCAATCAACATTTTCAATTTCAAAATTGGTTCCAGCAACTGTATCGATGCGACTACCTGTATTCTTTTAACATGTATCACACGATGTGTACAAATTCTTTATATGGAAAATTTGACACGACACATGTAAACCCCTTATCGACAGATTTAGAAAGAAATATAAAATTAAACAAAAAAGGCAAAGTTCTAAAATCCCAATTAAATGGTAAAGAAGTACTTCCGTAGAATACAAATGGATGGACAAATTTTGGGAGGACTTTCATAATTCTTAAATAAGAAGTTTGCGAATGGCACCTGTCATATTTTTTTTTCCTGTAGACTAAGGTAGGTTGTCTTCTAATATCATCAATAAACTTCGATTTTGAGAGTAACCTATCACGACGTGGTGAGCAACTTGGAAAAGCAATGGGAGATAAACTAAGAGAAGACTGAGCAGCTGATGCACACTTCCTTTTATGTTGATGACATAACGATGATATCCTTTATTTATGTTTGAACATATCGTTCCGAAATGAACTAGTTCAAATTAATTATTCTGTGAAAGGAACGATCGGAACTGTGCAAAATACTTTGCAAGGTAGATCTAACAGGTAACCGCATCGGCGAATTGCTACAACAAAGCAACTTTTGTGGTCCCCTCAAATGTCAAAATTAGCATCTAAGGCGAAAAACATAGATTCGCCATGACATTTAAAAGTTGCGGCAAATTTGTTTCAACCAATCAGAAACGAGGTGTTTGTTTACATTTTATTTTGTGTGCCTCTCGTCGTAAACGAACGTCGCAATAAAAGTTTTTATTGTAAAACAAATAAGAGTAAAATAAGTATTAATTGTAGTTTTGCGATATTTTTTAAACCAAGAAACTTATAATGACTATATTTAACTGGTTTAAACCGAAAGTTTTCCGGAACTGCAAATGACAAGAGTCGAATTCTTTCACTACTTCCCGTGATGTGCTTTGGGAATCTTAGTTGTTGAGGCTAACTTAATTCTTAAAGCTGCACTCCATTCTAACCTCCTTCCTTCATTTTCTTTTAATTTTTTTTACTGGTTTCACTCTTAACTTGCTCTTAAATTATTTGAAATATTATAAAAAGGTAATTTTAGGGAAGACAACATAAACAAATTTGTTGTTGCATTCATTTAGGGCGAATTCTTCATTACAACAATTTGTTTTGACATTTAATGGTGCCGTCAGCTGGGCTGATGCGATTACCTAGTACATCTACCTTGATACTTTGTACATACTTTTGAGAGCGGTTGAGACGCTAACAATAAAGATTCTAAAATTATCAGTTGATGAAATATCACACGTGTACAATTAAGTGATCCTGTGCGCTTTCGCATACGATAATGTGTAAGATAATAAAGGTCATCAACCGCCGCCCCGCAATATTCTCCATTCAATATTAGAATAGATACGAATAATTATGTGACTGCGATTAGGTGAAGTTATATTGGTTTTAGTAATAATTAAGGAACATAAATAAAAAACTAGAATCGAAACTACATCCAAAGACAAAAGGTGGGAATACATAAAACGCTTTTTTAAGTGGCTTAAGATATCGTCTGGCTTCTTCATAGAAGAACAAGGGAGAACAAGTTGACTAAGTTCGATTTTGCCCATACGCTCCTTTGTTCGTTTCCGAAGAAGTTAGTCGATGACTTTTTCATGTATTCTAACCATAAGCTTGTCCTTTCTTCTCGAACCGTAAGGTTGTTTTCCTTGCTCACTTTTATGTTTGGTCCTTCGAGCCGGATAGAGAATTGAATCTACACCAAAAATAAGCTGTTGTGTTATGTCCTCACTTTACCTAAGAATTCAATTTTAATGATTTTTCGAATTTAAGTAGATTTTTATATGTTTTTTTATACGAAGTCATTCGGAGGTTATTATAATTCGTGTTTTCCAACAAGTTTTACAGATTTAAATAATTCTTCATTCAACATTTTCAATTCCAAAATTTGTTTGACAGTTCATTGTCCCAGCAGCTGTGTCGATGCGTCTACCTATATTCTTCTACCATGGAAACAACTATCGAACCATGAGGTTGTTTTCTTTTCTCGTTTTCTCGCGTTACCTGTGAAGTCTGTGGCGCAAAAGAGCAAAAATCCTGTGAGAATGCCTTACTTACGATTTCTGGTCTTCATATGTATTGTTCAGCTTCCCATTAAAGGGCCCAAGGATATAATATTCATTTTGATAACAGAAAATAAATGGTTTAGAATCTACGTAATATGTTTTGATAAATTTATAAACAAATATACCTAACATCCGCCTCACATTATACAAGCGTTCGCACATTGTTGCAACTGTTATAATGTCACAGATTACAGTAGCTTATTAAAATTTCATTTCAAAGCAATTTAACTCAAAAATTCTACGCTTAGAACTTATAATTAAATGTTCGGGTTTGCTTATTACATCTATTGAATAATATATGAATATATAAAATGTTCTGCGTAGATTTTCAAAATATGAACATGATAAATAATTATACATACGGGCTATGAATAGAAATACATACGCACATACCCACATACATACATATAATATTCTAATTTTACACAGCAATAAACATACATATGTATCTACATGAGATTTTGAATTCGCATTTGTTGGCTTAGGAAATTTGCATGTTCAGAACAAGCCATTGTAATTTGCACAGTGTTTGGAAATCGAGATAGAATATTTTATTGACTCGCACATTTCGTGTTTGGAGTTGTAAAGTATGCTTATATACAAATCACAATAAATTCAACTATGGAAAACATATTGTAGATTTATAGTGATTGGACACGATTAAAAAAGGTGAAGAACCCCTTCTTATTGCGGCATGTCTTCAACTTTTCAATGCCAAAAGTCGACCTACATATCCCTACATACAACTCGATTGTGTGCGATAATCATAACAAAGAGAAAACAATCACCCAAACGCAGCATCAATTTGGTGTATGGCTTCTCGATAAAGTCTATAGTGAGTCTGCAAAGCAGGACGCTCCTAAAAAGATTCTGAGTCATCTATCCAGTTTATCGGAAGCGGGAAAGAGAAAAGGGCCAATAAACCACACAAAGAGACTCTACTACGGAGCTTTTGACTGTAGATGACACTCGAGCCGAGGAATATTTCATAAAGACTGGAGTTCCGCCAAAGAAAATGCGGGCTTCGCAGAAAAGTACCACAGAGACCAGGACAAAACTTTCACCTGACTTAAAATTCAAATTCATAACGAACTCTATTATACAATGGTCGATATGAACTGCGGCTAACATTGCTTAGCAGTCGAATGAGGAAGCTCTTTGGATAACATATCTCCTCTATGGGAAGGAGCAAGTTTAAAAAATGAAGTTCCTCGATGAACTATGGCTAACTTTACTTAGCAGTCAAATGTGGAAGCTCTTTGGAAGCTGGTAATTAACATATCTCCTCCCTGGGAATGAGCAAGTTTAAAAATGACGAAGAAAATGGAAGTTCCTCGCTTTACGGCCTTCTATCAATGCGAGACCCCTTGAAAGATTTTCTATCAGAAATTCGATCTATTTGGATAAAAAATATTAGATCCACAAAATACCTGTTCTATTCTCACGGCGAAAATCGTGGAGTCGGGTATAAAATGGGCTGGATCGGGACGGTAAACACTAGATCAGTAGAGCAGCAACATCGAAATCGGTATGTGATACAACCCTCAATCGAATCCTTGGGTATCCTAGAACTTTATTGCTTATCCTGTAGACATCCTTGCATATCATGTACACTTCCTTGAAGATTCCTGGGGAATCCTGTATGTCCTTTTATTATCCTTGAACATTCCTATAGTCTGCTTGAGCTCATATAAAGGTCTCTCACAACCTTGCCTTTGAATACCTTGTTGTCTGCTTGAGTACTTATTACTGTCTTGTAAACGAAGCCCTGAATATCATTGTAGTCTGCTTGAGTACTTATTAAAGTCTTTCCTAGACGAAACCTTTAATATCCTTGTAATCTGATTGTGTACTTATTAAGGTCTCTTGCAAACGTATCCTTGAATATATTTGTAATCTGCTCGAGTAGCCTTGAATACCCTTGTAGCCTGTTTGTGTACTTATGATGGTCTCTCGCATAGAATCCATCTGGGAGGCTTGAATAAACCATCCCGAATCCTGTGGACAAACCCCAAATATCTCTATTCCGTGTCTGGAGTACTTATCAAGGTCTCAAGTCGATAAAGAAGAATTCCCAATTCCGGACCAAAAAAGATTAGGATAAGTTATACTTCCCATTGAAAAAGCACAGTATGAACTTGAATGAGCTTCAAGACAAGTGACATCAAACGAAAACTACTGTATTTCTCTTTCTGTCGCAAAGTAAATAAATTTCTGTACGAACGCTTGAACCCCGGCGAGCTACTCTGTGGAAGATCGGCCTTCTATGTATTCGGCTTATCTCTAGTTTAGCAAAAACTCTGCATTTTGTTTTTCGAAATTTTTTGCAATGGTCGGTATTTTTACCCTGGTTCTGGGAAACAATTTTGTTCTTGGGGAACGGACCCGAGACCCCGAAAGTCCGCGTTAAAGTCCCGCATTAGACCCGGGTCCACAATAGGCAAAATAGTTGGAAAACTTACGAAAATCCCTATCCAACAAGTGATCACATGATGGGCGGTTCGGAAGTTATATTGAAATGATCGATTTTTTGGACCCGGATTTTTTATAAAACCCCCAAGAAGTCAAAATAAGGGCCCATTATAGGGATCAACCAAATTGATGCAACATTATTGCTGATACTCGTACCTTTCCAAAATGTTACAATTTGTTTTAATACCTCTTCTGGGTCCAGAGATATTCTCTATTAGATATGTTCAACAGGTTACTCGAACTAAAGTTTTTCTAAATTTAACATTTGAACCCGGAATTTCGGGTCAAAAATCTGGAGCCCGGATCTGTCACAAAAAAAAAAACAAAAAAAAAAAAAAAATTGGGATAAAAAAAAGAAAAAAATTGAAGGGTTTTTATACCCTCCACCTTGGAAAGGAGGGTATATTAACTTTGTCATTCCGTTTGTAACATCCCTAAATATTCTTCGTAGAACCCATAATGTATATATATTCATAATCAGCATAAAATTCTAAGACGATTTAACGATGTCCGTCTGTCTGCCCCTCTGTCTGTTGAAATCACGATATAGCCCACATTATTTGACGTAGAGCGTCAAACATTAGCAGAATAATTTGTATTGTGTCTAGGATGGTTGGTATTGAAAATGAGATATATCGGTCCACGTTTTGGTATAGTCCCCATATAACGGCACCTCCCGGCATTCGGTATTTTGATGATTTTTTGCCGCATTTTGTCACGGATTTGTCTAAATATTGGTATTTGTAGGTCATAATAGGTTCTAGCTTCGGTGGCGAAACTTTGCATGTATAGGTCCACGTTTTGGTATAGCCCCCATATAATGGTACCTCCCGATATTCGGTATTTTGATGATTTTTACCAAATTTTTTCACGGATTTGTCTGAAAATTGGTATTTGTAGGTCATAATGGGTTCTAGCTCCGGTGGCGAAACTTTGCATGTATAGGTCCACGCTTTGGTATAGCCCCCTTATAACGGTACCTCCCGATATTCGGTATTTTGATGATTGTTGCCACATTTTTTCATGGATTTGTCTAAAAATTGGTATTTGTAGGTCATAATGGGTTCTAGCTTCGGTGGCGAAACATTGCTTGTATAGTTCCACGTTTTGGTATAGTCCCCATATCACGGTACCTCCCGATATTCGGTATTTTGATGATTTTTGCCACACTTCTACACCGATTTGTCTGAAAATTGGTATTTGTTGGTCATAATAGGTTCTAGCTCCGGTGGCGAAACTTTGCATGTATAGGTCCACGTTTTGATATAGCCCCCATATAACGGAACCTCCCGATATTTGGTATTTTGGTGATTTTTGCCACATTTTTTCATGGATTTGTCTAAAAATTGGTATTTGTTGGTCATAATGAGTTCTACCTCCGTTGGCGAAATATTGTATGTATAGGTGCACGTTTTGGTATAGCCCCTATATAACGGTACCTCCCGATATTCGGTATTTTGATGATTTTTACCACATTTTTTGATGGATTTGTCTGAAAATTGGTATTTGTTGGTCGTAATGAGTTCTAGCTCCGTTGGCGAAATATTGTATGTACAGGTGCACGCTTTTGTATAGCCCTATATAGCGGTACCTCCCGATATTCGGTATTTTGATGATTTTTGCCAAATTTTCCCACGAATATGCCTTAAAATTGGTATTTGTGGGTCATAATTGATTCTAGAGTGGATGGTATTAAAAGTTCGGCCCGGCTGAACTAAATGTTTTTTTACTTGTTACTAAACTAGAGTTGTTCCAAGAAGGTGTGTTAAAGGTCTGAAAGGGTCTGATAATTGCAAGAGACCGGTAAAAAATAAGACTCCGTCCAGCAAAAGAAGTCGACCTACTTTAAAAATACTCCCGACCCTCCTCGCCTTGGGAATTCTTTACAACTTCCAAACACTGTGCTTTAAATTTCCCAAAAAAAAAATGGCTTGAAAATACGAAATTTTAAATTAATTCATTTAAGCATAGAATGGTTGTAGCATATTTATACACAGAGACATACATACACACAGACATCTCAAACACACACACACACAAACATACATACGACATACATATACCAACAAAGAATTCAAAACAATAATGTTGCCACAACAAATTAAAATACGTTAACACAACCAGCAATAACAACAAAATCGATGACAATACAAATCAATGGCAACAAAAACCAAACGAAGGGAAATCAAAAAAAAAAAAAAAAGCTCGAGGCAACAATAACAACAATAATAGTAACAACAACAATACAATAACAGCAACAATTGTTTTTTTTTGTGGATTTGTTTGTCTGTTTGCATTTTTTTCCATTCCACATTTGAAGTAGCAGAATCTAAGCAGTAACAACAACAACATCCCCGGCAGCACCCGCACCCTCAGCAGCAGCAATGCCAGCCATGTTGGCCGATTCCGATGCAGTCAATGTCATCATTACTACATCATCAACATCGACGTGGCCACTTTCATTGTCATTGCCACCGCCACCGCCACCGCCACCGCCACCGCCACCGCCATCGCCACCACCATCATCATCCACCACATCCACAATAACAACAATATGATGATGATTATTATAGCAAATGGTACTGGCGGTAGTTGGCTTAGCACTGGCACCACCACCACCACCACTCTGGCTCTTCAGGGCCCTATTAAGGACTTGATTGAATTTTAATTGATTGGCAAATCGATTAAGATTTTGATTGTTTTGTTTTTTGATTTGATTAGATTCTTGATTGGAATCTCTATTTGGCTGGTGGTAATGATGCTGGTGGTCGTCGTGTTGTCGTTGTTCCTGCCGTTGGCATTCTTGTTGTAGTGTTTGTGTGTGATATATATTTGTGATAGTTGTAGGCGTAGCCAGAGCAGTTGGAGAATAAGATGTAGCATTTTGATTGAAATTGAAATTTCGATAACGACCACTACCAGTACAACCACTACTACCACTACGACTACCACTACCATCAGCATTGACACAATTTGAGAAATTTGAGTGAGTTTCAGTACCCGCTTGAGATGATTGATAGCACTCTCTGGTCAGAACTATACATAATCCAATAGCTAATATCACAAATGTTCCAAGTACTATACTGACGGCAACAATCCAGATACGTGGATCGAAATTATCTAAATCGGGTTGTATAAGGCGTATTAAATCTACGAAAATGGGAAAGGAGAAAAGAATGGAGACATATATTGAGGGGATATTGGAAAGAAGGAAGGAAGGATTGAAATGTGAGTGAAAACAGATTTTTTTTAATATTATGAATATGAAAATGGTTAGGGAGCGAGGATATAAAAGAGAAAATAGAAGAAAAAAAGAAACAAAATACACAATATATAAGAGATACACATTTAAAACAATTATTTTTATACCCTACAACACTATGTGTTGGGGGTATTATAAGTTTGATTGGGCCAGAATTTATGTAACACCTCGAAATATTGGTTTCCCATATAGGAAAGTATATATGGATCTTCCTAGCTCGCCGAGCTGAGTCGATCTAGCTATGTATGTCCGTCCGTCCGTCTGTCCGTCTGTCCGTCTGTCCATGTTAATTTGTAATCACGCTACAGGTCGCAATTATGGCCCGATCCTTACGAAATTTTGCACGAAGGTGGGGTTAGGGTCAGAATAGAAGCCTATTTCATTTGGAGATGATCGCCAAATGCTTAGGGATTGAAATGGACCAAATACTGAAAAAATTTCGGATTTTGCAGTAGCTATACAGGTCGCAATTATAGACCAATCGACGCGGAATTTCGCATGTAGCTAAAGTTTAGGGCGGGGAAGAAGCCAACCAATTTTGGTGGTCATCGGATAATATTTAGCGGGTAAAATAGACCATATCTTTTGTGTTGAAAAAATTCAAAATTTTTCATTAAACCGTGAATATTTTAAATCCCGGCGAAATCACAAAGCCATGACAAGGTTACTTCTGACCTTTACATTGATGTTAACATCCAACAAATCGGATATATAGCAAAATATGTGCGATATATATGTCTATCAAAGAAGATATGCTTGAAAAATCTCTTATATGTCGAGAACGGCTGAACTGATTTCGACAGTTCTCATTAATTCAGAATGGCCGCTTGTTAGGAAAGAAAAAACGTCTAAAAAATCGCATAAAAATATCTCTCTAAAGATGAAAATATTGGTTTTGTAACATTTTCTCATATTTTTTCAATTTTGTCATATTTTTGGCATATTTTCATTTTAAATTAAACATTTGGTAATATTTCTACAGGTAACAAAACTAAGTAGTTAGGATATCAGGATATCATATACAGATCGTATTTATGGCCAGATCCTTACGAAATTTTGCATGGAGATAAGATGAGGGTCAGAATAGGAGCCTACTCTTTTTGGAGATGATCGTCATATATTTAGGGGTTGAAATGGACCAAAAAACTGCAAAATTGTCAGGAGGTCGTAATTATTCTGACTATTTCGTTAACGCTGATTTCGTGGAAGAATATAGTCAAATGTTTGTATCTCATATAGATGCGTTTCAGTCAAAAGCCAATAATAAATGTTAATCTTTTGCCACTTCTGAGAGATTATAGGTCTTTGGGAAATATTGGTTCCAGATCTAGGAAGACCATTTAAGTGCAACATCTACCAATAAATTGGAAATGAGCAAATTAGTTTAAGTTGCTATTATTCGAAAATTAGAGAACGAAACCTGATGGTTTTCTTTTATAATTTGTCACAATATCTTGTGGAATTCTATCGAGTATCTCGCCTATATATACAGTATCGTTTATTATAGTGTTGTAGGGTATTCAACGGTCGGCCCCGCTCGACTGTAGCCTTTGCTTACTTGTTTTAATATATAATAATAAAAACACAACAACATTAAGAATTGCCATACAAATCATTTGGAATTTTGTATGGCAAATAATATTTATATATTTTTTATATACACAGCTATGGTCACATAAAAATAACTTCCTAAAAATTTTTCAACATAAATGGAAATGATTGGTTATTATGTTCTGGTTGATGTAAAGTAGGGCCTGTTTCATAATTATAATAACACTCGTTTATATCCTCCACCATAGTATGAAGGGTATATCAAGTTTGTCATTCCGTTTGTAAGACCTCGAAATATAAATTTGACACCCCACAAAGTATATATATATTCTTGATCAGCATAAAATTCTACGTCGATCCATCTGTGGAAATCACTTAAATTTTTACTGAAATGTGTATTATGTTTGCAGGACTTTGGGTATTGAAAATGGATCATGTAGGTCCACGTTTTGGTATAGCCCCCATAAAACGGTATCTCCCGATATTCGGTATTTTGATGATTTTAGCGACATTATTCACCGCAATTGTTTCAAATTTGGTATTTGAAATTCGTAATGAATGCTACAGCCTACGGCAGAAAATTGTGTGTGCAGGTCCACGTCTTCGTATAGCCCCCATATAACGGTACCTCTCGATATTCAGTATTTTAATGATTTTAGCGACAATTTACAACGGAATTATTTCAAATTTGGCATATGAAGTTCCTAATCGATACTACAGCTTATGACAGAAAATTGTGTGTGCAGGTCCTCGTCTTCGTATAGTCCCCATATAACGGTACCTCCCGATATTCGGTATTTTAATGATTTTAGCGACATTATACAACGGAATTGTTTCAAATTTGGTACTTGAAGTTCGTAATGGATGCTACAGCCTAAGACACCCATATAAAGGTACCTCCATATATTCCGTATTTTGATGATTTTTTTTAGTTTCGCATGATTTATGACAAAAGTTGCCCATGCAGGTCCAAGTCGTCGTATAGACCCTAATATAGCAGCTACATTCGGCATTTTTTAGATTTTAATGGATTTTAAAAATCCAAATGGTGGAGGGTATTCAAAGATCGACCCGGCCAAACTTAGAGTTTTTTTACTTGCTCTTCCTTATATCTCTTTCGATGTTCCACTGTTCTGGAAATACTTCATTGAGATTAAGCATATATGTTCTCACTCTTTTGGCCATTAAATAACAAAAACTGTCTTGCAGGGAAATTTCTGGCAGAGGTGTTAATGTTGTACTGAATTTTTTAAAAGATCCTGAAAATTACAGCTCCCAAAAGCGCTCGGGAAGAAAAGCAAATAAAAAGCATTAATTTCGGTCGGGCCGAATTTGTAATACCCTCCAACTTTGGGTAAAGAGAATATTTTTATATAACAGTATCTGAATTCAAACGTGTCCCACTTTAAACTCCAAATACTAGCAAGACCGTTCGGATAATTCTGTTAAGTTTTTCAAAAAAAAAAAAAAAAAAAAAAAAAAACATAAAGTGGGAGAGCCCAATGGACAATTTTATACTTCAAGGATGGTCATCTACCAAATCGTCTTAAGTACCAAATATGAAACAATTTCGTGGATAAATGTGACTAGGATTATCAAAATACCGAATATCGACGGGAATCATTAAATGTGAGCAATAAGAAAACGCGGACTTAAATATTTAATGTTCTGCCACCGGAGCTAGAACCCATTACGAACTACAAATACTAGTTTTTAGACCAAACCCTTGGATAAATGTGGCAAAAATCATCAAAACACCGAATATCGGGAGGTACAGTTATATGGGGACTATACAAAAACATGGACCTACATATACAATGTTTCGCCACCGAATCTAGAACCAATTATGATCCACAAATTCCAATTTTTAGACAAATCCGTGAAAAAAAGTTTATCAAAATACCCAATATCGGGAGTTACCGTTATATGGGGACTATACAAAAAACGTGGACCTATCCATACAATGTTGCGCTACCGTAGCTAGGGTCCATTATGACCCACAAATTCCAAATTTTAGACAAATCCGTGGGAAAATGTAGCAAAGATCATCAAAATACCGAATGTCGGGAGGTACCGTTATATGGCGGTCATACCAAAACGAGGACCGATATATCACATTTTCAATTACCAATCATCCTTGACAAAATACAAATTATTCTTCCAGATTTTTAAGCTTTACGTCAAATAATGTGGACTGTATCGTAATTTCGACCAACAGACGGACATCGTTAAATCGACGTAGGATTTTAAAATACACTGTTTGAAAAACGAATATTCAAATGCACTGATTAATGAAATATATATATATATATATATATATATATATATATATATATATATATATATATATATTCTTTATGGGGTATACGACGAATATTTGGGGATGTTACAAACGGTATGACAAAGATACCTCCTTTTCAAGGTGGAGGGTACACAAATTGTATACGAATAAAAAACAGTGTATTGCATCATTAATCAGTGCATTTGAATATTCGTTTTTCAAACAGTGTATTTTAAAATCCGCCACTGTATTTTAAAATAGATGTTTGCATTTGTATATATTATAGATATTATTTCATTATAAACCTACATATTAGTATTAAATGTATGTAACTTAAAAACAAATTATGAATTTAAAATACCATATTGGGAATTTTATTATCAAACAGTGTTTCACAATCTAAAAACGTATTTGAATATCAAATATTTAGTAATTTTATTAAATCGTATATATAATATTAAAAACTAAAAAAATATGATGTACGTAATTAAAACCCCTGAATTTAAGTTACGGAATACGGAAATGAGTGCTTATATTCTTTTCGATATAGTAAAATTGTATCAGAGTGACTATAGCTGTGTAATGAATAACATTTTTCTTAACATTGTTAATTTATTAATTGAATTATTCTAAACATTGAAACAACATTGAAAATTGTAAACACTTTAATATCTATTTTTATAAAAAAGTACTTTTATTGGAAATTATAAGTTTAATCGTAACCCTGCTCTACTAACTGTTGTCATATTTTCTTACCAACTTAACATTACCATAAATCTAAGTGGGAAATAATTAATCGAGCAAGAAGGATTTGACAATTGTTTAGTTGAATAGAATGGGGTTTGAAAGAGAATTCAAATAAGATATGTATATCAAACAGTGTATTCCTTATTCAATTGTTTCGAACATTTTGTTTTGGAAGCCATGCGATCGGTTCGAATATCAAACAGTATTAGTGTCAAAAGGAATGGCTTCGAATGATAAAGATCTCATAAATATTGAGATTATTTAGAACTCAAATTAAATATATCTTTTTTATAGAAGAGATAAAGATTCTTATAAGCTCATCACTCTGTTTAAGCCAAGACGTATTTATTTTATTTTACAAAATATTCTTTTTAGATATTCAATTTAATTGAATTGTTGAATAAATTGCTTTATTCTTCAAATGTTCCGTATGAAATTTGGAATTTGTTTGACTTCATTTCCAAACTATTTATTCAAATTGTTCCAGTTCATTACCCAGTATTCGATGTTAATTTCACTTTTTATGAGCTGGATATTCAAAATTTTGCGCCTTTGTGGGAAGGTAACAAAAGAAGTGGACCGATATATCCCATCTTCATAACAGATTTTTTGTTAGTCGAAATTATGGATTTTATAACCGTTTTGGTTATTTAAAATGTTGCACCTTGTGGGGGAGGTACCAAAAGGAATGGTCCGATCTCTACCGTTTTTATAACAATATTCAGATGAGCCAAGTCTAAATGGAATCGGATGTTCATTTCGCGTTTTATGAGCTTAATGGATATTCCAAATTTCGACCTATTGTGGGGGAGGTACCAGAATGAGTGGACCGATATATTCCATCTTAATACCAGATCTTACATCAAATTTTTTAAGAGTTATTATTGTTGAAAATGTTTATCCTTTGTCAGGGAGGTACTTGATGGAGTGGACAGATATTGTCCACCTTCGCACCTAACCTAGAACTGACGCAAATATTAGGATTCGCAAAGTTGGAGCAAAATCGGATTATCGTTTCTCCTTCTGTGCGGAAAATATATTTTTTGAAAATTTTGAAGTTTTGTGGGGGAGGTACTAGAAGGAGTGGGCCGATATTGCCCACTAATAATGATCGTAGGTCTCTTTGGACCAATTCCGTCTCAGACGATCTAGCAATGTCCGTTCGTCCGTCCATCTGTCTGTCTGATGCGCACAATAACTCTCGAAGGGAGTATCCGATTTGATCCAAACTTGGTACATCGTAATATTATTGTCAAACTCAGATTGAGTTCGGAGATGGGCAATATCGGTCCACAACTTCCGGTAAATCCGCCACAAAAAAAAAAAAAAAAAAAAAAAAAATATATGTTACTGCATAGAAAGAGAAAAGATAATCCGGTTTTGCTCCAACTTTGCGAATCCTAATATTTGCATTAGTGCTATGTCAGGTGCAAAAAGGAATAATATCGGTCCACTCCATCAAGTGCCTTCCCCACAAAAGGTGAATATTTTGAATAATTATAATTCGTATAAAATGTGAGTTATGTGTCCGATTGTCTTTAAATTACACACGTTACAATATTTTTATAAACCCAAGATCTGCTGTGAAGATGGAATATATCGGTCTACTCTTTCTGGTACCTCCCCCACAACGGGTCAAAATTTTGAATATCCCTTAAGCTCTTAAAACACCAAATTGATATTCGATTTCATTCCGACTTGGAATATTTCAATATTTCCATCAACACAAGACCTGTTATAAATATGGTAGAGATTGGACAATTCCTTCTGGTACCTCTTCCGCAAAGGGTCAAAATTTTGAATAACCAAAACGTTTATAAAATCCGAAATAAAAATAAGGTTCTCTTTATATTTTACACATCCCATTATTTCTACTAACACAAGATCTAATGTGAAGATGGAATGTATCGTGCCACTCATTCTGGTACCTCCCCCACAAAGACTCAAAATTTTGAATATCCCGAAGCTCATAAAACGCGACATTAACATCCGATTCCTTTCCAGACTTGGTACATCTCAATATTTCCATCAACACAAGATCTGTTGTAAACATGTTAGAAATCGGACCATTTTTTCTGGTACCTCCCCTGTATAGGGTTTAAGGTTAAACAAACGGTCAAAAATACGAAATAAGCATCCAACTCTCTCCAAATTTCATAAAGCCAAATATTTTTGCTAACGTAGGATCTCTTGTGAAGATGATATATATCTGACAAACCCCTTCTGTTACCTCAACCACATAGGGTCACAATTTTCAATACTCTTATCTGTCATAACATGAGAAACAAGTTAGCGATATTTTACAACTTGCCATATCTAAATATTTCTCTTAACCAGAAATCGGATATGAATATGTAATTTATCGGAATTTATGTTTTCGTATAAAATTGGATATAAATATTGGATTTCGTTGAAATTTTGCACACACCAATATTTTTATCTGTATTAGATGAAATATGAAAATGGAATACTTTGGTCCGCTATATCTGTTATTTCACGCATATTTCCACATTTTCCAAAAATTTGCACATCTCTCAAATAAAGTATACGAAGTAGTCGATATAGTCCAAATCTGGCACGTTGTGAATATTGACCATCTGCTGCGGAACCTCCCCCAAAAAAGGTCAATAGTTTGAATAATCATTACTCAAGCCTGGAGGTATACATATGTCCGCAAAACCGAGTGATACTATTTTGAATGACTTGTAAAAGAGATTCTATGTATGTATGATTTATGGAAGATTGAACCCTTATATAATTAGACTTTTAATAAATTTATAAAAAAAAAATATTTAGTTACATTTTATCTGTATAACAGCAGTGGAAACTGATTTTCTACTAATTTTCAATTACATGATTCTAACTAAACGTAATCCATACCACATCATGATCTATATCAAACACACATTGTCATATCCTTCTTGTCCCTTTCAACAAATACACAAACATTTTCTGTAAACCTAACTCAACCTAATATTCTCTCTAATAACCTTAACACACATTAATGTGTGATAACAAGTAAATACTCCTACTATCAATTACTTAATACAATAATGAAATATAAAAAACAACAAAAAAAAAATAAACTTAGTAATACAATCTTACAACTACACAGATACACACTCACATTGTGGCTATCAAGATAAGAGGCCAGGGTTGGCAACTTGGAACTTACCTTCTTCTTTGGTTTCCGGCAATGTTGTGACATTCGTTGTTACAACTTCACCGCTGCCCAAGTGATTGTTGGCCCACATGCGAAACTCATATGTGGTGTTGGGTTCCAGGCGATACACTTCCATTTGCCGCTGTGGGAAATGATATCCAAAAGAGAGAGGAAGAGAGATAAGTTTGTGGGAATAAAATAAAAACACAAGTGGAGAATAAATAATTGACCAACGTTAAGTAAATCTTGTTAATTATGACTAAATACAATTGGGCGAACGCAATGTCCGTCCTCTTCGACCAGCTCGGCTCTGTCAACAATATTGAATGTATGTCGTCAGTCTGTATGTGTGTCTGTTCGAAACAGCTCTTAATGTCAATCTCATTAAACATTTTGCGGTGGTAATATAATTTAAATGATTGTCGTCTATTTACGCTTAATTGACTTCTTGACAAAATAATACTACTGCCCGGAAAAAAGGAGGGGAGGAGATGGGTGAGCGAGAAGTATCTCTAAAAAATAATAAAAACGAGCTGCGGTTCGAATATTTCCTATAGAAATGAAATTTTATTTCCATAGAAAAAAATTGAAAAATTGCCATTCAAGCTGCATATACCCACAAAAGCCGAGGGCATGCAAATCGCTGAAAAATGACAAACAAAGCGTAAATTGTACGCTTTTGTTGTCCAACTAAATTAGAACTTTTGTTTACCAAACCTATCATTAGCAGATCGCATAAATGTCAATCAAATCGCACAGAGTTCATAACATTCAATTACTTTTGACAATTGAAGATGTCAAACAATGGAAGTGTTTAGAAAAGCGGTGGTCATGGATAAGTGAATATGTTTTTATAATAAAAGAGAATAGCGGGGCTACCTAGTGTAGAAGAGAGAGAGAGAGAGAGAGATTTCTTAAACCGGGATCTCTTTTAATACAGTCCACATTAAATTAGAAAGGACAAGTAATGAGCAGACCTTTGAGGCCTGAGAAATAAATTAAATTTTCCGCGTCTATAGCTCTGCTAGTCCTTGGGAAGATTATCTTCAAAAAATCCACGTTTATAGCTCTGCTAGTCCTTGGAAAGATTATCTTCAAAAAATCCACGTTTATAGCTCTGCTAGTCCTTGGAAAGATTATCTTCAAAAAATCCACGTTTATAGCTCTGCTAGACCTTGGAAAATAGTCTTTAAAAATCCACGTTTATAGCTCTGCTAGTCCTTGGAAAGGTTTTCGTTAAAAAATCCTCATTTATAGCTGTGCTAGTCCTTGGAAAAATTGAAAATCCACGTTTGATAGCCCTGCTAGTCCTTTGAAATATAATCTTTAAAAAATTCACGATTCTAGCTCTGCTAGTCCTTGAAAAATCCACGATTCTAGCTCTGCTAGTCCTTGAAAAATCCACGATTCTAGCTCTGCTAGTCCTTGAAAAATCCACGATTCTAGCTCTGCTAGTCCTTGAAAAATCCACGATTCTAGCTCTGCTAGTCCTTGAAAAATCCACGATTCTAGCTCTGCTAGTCCTTGAAAAATCCACGATTCTAGCTCTGCTAGTCCTTGAAAAATCCACGATTCTAGCTCTGCTAGTCCTTGAAAAATCCACGATTCTACCTCTGCTAGTCCTTGAAAAATCCACGATTCTAGCTCTGCTAGTCCTTGAAAAATCCACGATTCTAGCTCTGCTAGTCCTTGAAAAATCCACGATTCTAGCTCTGCTCGTCCTTGGAAAAATATTCTTTAAAAATATCCACCTTTATATCTCTGTTAGTCCTTGGAAAAATATTCTTTAAAAAATCCACGTTTCTTGGTCTACTAGTCCTTGGAAAAATATTCTTTAAAAAATCCACGTTTCTTGGTCTACTAGTCCTTGGAAAAATATTCTTTAAAAAATCCACGTTTCTTGGTCTACTAGTCCTTGGAAAAATATTCTTTAAAAAATCCACGTTTCTTGGTCTACTAGTCCTTGGAAAAATATTCTTTAAAAAATCCACGTTTCTTGGTCTACTAGTCCTTGGAAAAATATTCTTTAAAAAATCCACGTTTCTTGGTCTACTAGTCCTTGGAAAAATATTCTTTAAAAAATCCACGTTTCTTGGTCTACTAGTCCTTGGAAAAATATTCTTTAAAAAATCCACGTTTCTTGGTCTACTAGTCCTTGGGAAATATTCTTCAAAAAAATCCACGATTCTTGGTCTACTAGTCCTTGGAAAAATATTCTTTAAAAAATCCACGTTTCTCGGTCTACTAGTCCTTGGAAAAATATTCTTTAAAAAATCCACGTTTCTTGGTCTACTAGTCCTTGGAAAAATATTCTTTAAAAAATCCACGTTTCTTGGTCTACTAGTCCTTGGAAAAATATTCTTTAAAAAATCCACGTTTCTTGGTCTACTAGTCCTTGGAAAAATATTCTTTAAAAAATCCACGTTTCTTGGTCTACTAGTCCTTGGAAAAATATTCTTTAAAAAATCCACGTTTCTTGGTCTACTAGTCCTTGGAAAAATATTCTTTAAAAAATCCACGTTTCTTGGTCTACTAGTCCTTGGAAAAATATTCTTTAAAAAATCCACGATTCTTGGTCTACTAGTCCTTGGAAAAATATTCTTTAAAAAATCCACGTTTCTTGGTCTACTAGTCCTTGGAAAAATATTCTTTAAAAAATCCACGTTTCTTGGTCTACTAGTCCTTGGAAAAATATTCTTTAAAAAATCCACGTTTCTTGGTCTACTAGTCCTTGGAAAAATATTCTTTAAAAAATCCACGTTTCTTGGTCTACTAGTCCTTGGGAAATATTCTTTAAAAAATCCACGATTCTTGGTCTACTAGTCCTTGGAAAAATATTCTTTAAAAAATCCACGTTTCTTGGTCTACTAGTCCTTGGAAAAATATTCTTTAAAAAATCCACGTTTCTTGGTCTACTAGTCCTTGGAAAAATATTCTTTAAAAAATCCACGTTTCTTGGTCTACTAGTCCTTGGAAAAATATTCTTTAAAAAATCCACGTTTCTTGGTCTACTAGTCCTTGGAAAAATATTCTTTAAAAAATCCACGTTTCTTGGTCTACTAGTCCTTGGAAAAATATTCTTTAAAAAATCCACGTTTCTTGGTCTACTAGTCCTTGGGAAATATTCTTTAAAAAATCCACGATTCTTGGTCTACTAGTCCTTGGAAAAATATTCTTTAAAAAATCCACGTTTCTTGGTCTACTAGTCCTTGGAAAAATATTCTTTAAAAAATCCACGTTTCTTGGTCTACTAGTCCTTGGAAAAATATTCTTTAAAAAATCCACGTTTCTTGGTCTACTAGTCCTTGGAAAAATATTCTTTAAAAAATCCACGTTTCTTGGTCTACTAGTCCTTGGGAAATATTCTTTAAAAAATCCACGATTCTTGGTCTACTAGTCCTTGGAAAAATATTCTTTAAAAAATCCACGTTTCTTGGTCTACTAGTCCTTGGAAAAATATTCTTTAAAAAATCCACGTTTCTTGGTCTACTAGTCCTTGGAAAAATATTCTTTAAAAAATCCACGTTTCTTGGTCTACTAGTCCTTGGAAAAATATTCTTTAAAAAATCCACGTTTCTTGGTCTACTAGTCCTTGGGAAATATTCTTTAAAAAATCCACGATTCTTGGTCTACTAGTCCTTGGAAAAATATTCTTTAAAAAATCCACGTTTCTTGGTCTACTAGTCCTTGGAAAAATATTCTTTAAAAAATCCACGTTTCTTGGTCTACTAGTCCTTGGAAAAATATTCTTTAAAAAATCCACGTTTCTTGGTCTACTAGTCCTTGGGAAATATTCTTTAAAAAATCCACGATTCTTGGTCTACTAGTCCTTGGAAAAATATTCTTTAAAAAATCCACGTTTCTTGGTCTACTAGTCCTTGGAAAAATATTCTTTAAAAAATCCACGTTTCTTGGTCTACTAGTCCTTGGAAAAATATTCTTTAAAAAATCCACGTTTCTTGGTCTACTAGTCCTTGGAAAAATATTCTTTAAAAAATCCACGTTTCTTGGTCTACTAGTCCTTGGGAAATATTCTTTAAAAAATCCACGATTCTTGGTCTACTAGTCCTTGGAAAAATATTCTTTAAAAAATCCACGTTTCTTGGTCTACTAGTCCTTGGAAAAATATTCTTTAAAAAATCCACGTTTCTTGGTCTACTAGTCCTTGGAAAAATATTCTTTAAAAAATCCACGTTTCTTGGTCTACTAGTCCTTGGGAAATATTCTTTAAAAAATCCACGATTCTTGGTCTACTAGTCCTTGGAAAAATATTCTTTAAAAAATCCACGTTTCTTGGTCTACTAGTCCTTGGAAAAATATTCTTTAAAAAATCCACGTTTCTTGGTCTACTAGTCCTTGGAAAAATATTCTTTAAAAAATCCACGTTTCTTGGTCTACTAGTCCTTGGAAAAATATTCTTTAAAAAATCCACGTTTCTTGGTCTACTAGTCCTTGGGAAATATTCTTTAAAAAATCCACGATTCTTGGTCTACTAGTCCTTGGAAAAATATTCTTTAAAAAATCCACGTTTCTTGGTCTACTAGTCCTTGGAAAAATATTCTTTAAAAAATCCACGTTTCTTGGTCTACTAGTCCTTGGAAAAATATTCTTTAAAAAATCCACGTTTCTTGGTCTACTAGTCCTTGGGAAATATTCTTTAAAAAATCCACGATTCTTGGTCTACTAGTCCTTGGAAAAATATTCTTTAAAAAATCCACGTTTCTTGGTCTACTAGTCCTTGGAAAAATATTCTTTAAAAAATCCACGTTTCTTGGTCTACTAGTCCTTGGAAAAATATTCTTTAAAAAATCCACGTTTCTTGGTCTACTAGTCCTTGGAAAAATATTCTTTAAAAAATCCACGTTTCTTGGTCTACTAGTCCTTGGGAAATATTCTTTAAAAAATCCACGATTCTTGGTCTACTAGTCCTTGGAAAAATATTCTTTAAAAAATCCACGTTTCTTGGTCTACTAGTCCTTGGAAAAATATTCTTTAAAAAATCCACGTTTCTTGGTCTACTAGTCCTTGGAAAAATATTCTTTAAAAAATCCACGTTTCTTGGTCTACTAGTCCTTGGGAAATATTCTTTAAAAAATCCACGATTCTTGGTCTACTAGTCCTTGGAAAAATATTCTTTAAAAA